AATTTGCATATTTAACGAGGTCCGGGGACCCCGCTCTGAGAACCCCTGCTTTGAAAGGCTAGCATTGCTTGGTTCTCTGAGTTTTTCACTCATTGTTTTGCTGACGTGAATTCATGAATTCATTGCTTGGCGTCTTTAGGGGCAGTGACTTATTTGCTGAAAAGTTAGCATGATGCATTCTTTTTTTCTTAACATTTAAGGAGCCATATTCTTTTTTTCTTAATATATGTATCTTTTCATTGATTTCAGAGAGGAAGGGAGAGAGATGGAGAGATGGAAACATCAATGATGAGAGAGAACCGGGGGGTGGGAGGGAATTAGGCCACAACCCGGGCATGTGCCCTGGGCTGGAACTGAACCTGGGACCCTTTAGTCTGCAGGCCGATGCTCTATCCACTGAGCCACACCAGCTAGGGCCGCGCTGGTGGGTGGGGCTGTGAGGGGTGTGGGACTCAGGGCCCTGGCACATGTTGTGGGGATACTTTAGAGGTGGCTTTGACCAGGTAGGATTCCACCTCCATGCCTTTGACTTCTGGGTGGAAAAAAATTAAAATAATGAATGGCTAGTATTCCATCTTCCTAATTACGATCATATCAAAAACAGTAGTCAGGCCCTAACCGGTGTGGCTCAGTGGATAGAGCGTTGGCCTGTGGACTGAAGGGTCCCGGGTTCGATCCCGATCAAGGGCATGCACCTGGGTTGCAGGCACATCCCCAGTGGGGGGTGTGCAGGAGGCAGCTGATCGATGTTTCTCTCATCAATGTTTCTGACTCTCTGTCCCTCTCTGTAAAAAAATCAATAAAAAATATATTTAAAAAACGCGCTGTCCAAATGATAGGCCCAGTTACGTGCTCTTGAGCCTTGGAAACCTGGCTGGTGAGCGTGAGGAGCTAAAGTGTAAATGCTAATTACACAGCCATGAATGGTCGCTCCCGCGGTGTCGTACAGCCAGCCACAGAGGAGAGCGTTTTAGGGCTCCACTCATTTTTTTGGTCGATTTTTCTTTGTTAAATGGCATTTAAGTATGTAAAATAAATATCAAAGATAGAAGTCTTTGTTTTACTCTGGTTGCAAATATAAAAAATTTCTCTAGGTGACACGGCACCAGAGTTAAGTTAGGGTTTTTCAAAATGCCGGCACGCCGAGCTCGAAAGGTTCGCCGTCACTGCCCTAGGTCTTGCCAGGCCCTAAACACTCTTCCAGAAAAGCCCATCTGAGCTCCTACACCACGCCCTTCGGGCCGGCCTGAGAGAGGGCGATGCTCACTCAAGTGCTCGGGGACCCCCCCCCCCCACCCC